TGGAGAGGGCGACTCCTGGCAACATTGGGGAGGGAGGCGTCGCTCACCCTGGGAGCTGCCTGCGTTGGGTGAGCGGGTGAGCAGTCCTGGGTCCGCCCCTGCGGTCCAGTAAGCGGTCAGGGGTCGCCTGGAGACCCCTGGGAGGCGGAGGCAGGAAGGGTCCTGCCCGTGGCTTGGACCCAGTGCTCTGCTTCCTTGCTCCTCGCCCTGCTGCGCTGCACCAAGCTCGTTGTCAGGGCCTGATCTGACTGTGGTGCAGGATACAGGTGGGTGGTATCTTCCCAAAAGGGTGCACACCTGGGCGGAGGCCAAGGCTGCTGCCTCCTGTGTGGGCCCAGGCAGGGTCTGTCCTGACCCGGCTCAGGCAGGCAGCTGCAGCCACCCCGACCCTTGTCCCAGGCTGCAGCGGGGACTTGCTGGGCAGTCTGGTGACAGGCAGTGACCTCTCCCAGGAGACACAGACCCACCTTCCTCAAGAATGGCCCTCCACCACTGGTGCCTGGGGTCCACCTGAGGTGGGGAATCCACAGGAGGGGCCTTTTGTGCCTCAGACTCTGGGGAAATCTGCTCAGCCTCCTCCCCACCCGTCACTCACTCCCCATGCCCACCTGGGTGGCAGCCACCTCCTCCAGATGCCCCCACACTCAAAGCTGCCCTCCCACCTCCGTCTGGCTGCAGACTCTCCAATCCACCTGCCCTCCCCAGGCCCCACGTGGAGTCAGGCGCCCTCTCCTGGGCCTTCTTCCTGCCCAGCCTGGGAAGGGGCAGGGCCCTGGGAAGGGGCAGGGCCCAGGGAAGGGGCAGGGCCCAGGAGGGCTCATACCAGGCCCAAGGTCACCGAGGAAGAGACGGAGTGGTACATGCAGCCACAGGCCGCCTCTCACGCATGGTGCGGGCGTGCACTGGCTGGCACACACACGTGCAGGGCATGCCTGCCCCCGACTCCCTGCTCCAAGCACCCAGCCTCCAGCATTCCTCCCTGAATCTCCTCTTTGTTTGGGGAGCTGGAGCCGCTGGCCTAGCTTCTTCGGCCCACATAGCACGTGGCCGGTCTGGGCTGGCTGCCCGAGCCCAGGTCGAGGGCTGCTCAATGTGCTGTCCTCACCCTCCCCAGCCCCCCCACCCCAACCCTGCCGAACTCAACACATGCGTTCTGGACTTGGCTGCCACCCACCTCCGCGACACAGGTTATGGAGGCTCCTCTCTCCAGTAATAGGATTCTGCTCCATCTTCATTCATCCATTAAATCTGAGACCCCCTCTCACCCCAGTGGGCACTGCCCCTCCCCCTTGCTGGGCAGCCGGGTGCTCCTCTCATCTCCCCACCTCTATCCTGCCCAGATGTCAGGGGATGGGGCAAGGCCCCGACCCACCAGAAGCCTGGCCTGGATGCTGCAGGGAGCGGCTCCCTCGGGCTCACAGACCCTGGGGTCTGGAATGGGGCACGCAGGAGAGGGCCCAGCCCTAGGGGAGCCAGGCTGGGTTCCTGGAAGCAGTCTGATGTAGCGGTCACCAGGGAGTTGTCTCAGGATGGCCTCAGGAAGGGAAGGGAGGAGGAAGCAGGGTGGGTAAAGGAGAAGCTGGCCTGTCCCACCATCTCATGCACCCCCTGAGAAGCAGAGAAGGCCACCCCAGACAGGCTGTGCCCTTGAGCCTGGCCTCTTCCTGGGGAAGTACAGAAAGTTCTCAGTGAGGACCTGGCCCCTGGGGCCACCTCCCTGCACTCCAGGCCGGATACCCTCAACCCGGCGTGCCTGCTGGCTTGGGACTTGTCAGGTGTGACCAGATCCTCTGTGAGGGTCCCCTCTAGGGCTGGGAGTAATGTTTCATTGACTGTGAGAACCAGGCAGGACAGACCAGGTGCCCGAGCACTGCCTGCCCCTCTCTGTGGTGCCTCCTTCTGCTGCCCAGGCCTGCCCCCTGCCAGGTAGGCGCCTCCTCCTGGCTGCTTGCTCCTGGGACATGACAGTCCGGAGTGGCCTGGGAGCAGCATAGCCTTTCACTCAGTGACACTAGCTGTGTCCCCTGGCAGAAGTGTTCCCCTCCAGAGACCAGGACAGCTGAGCCCACCCACCGCAGAGCTATGGGGCTGAGGAGCCCAAGCGCCATCATGTCCATCATGGGTCAGTGGGAGATGAATGGGCCACTGTGGCTGCCAGGCCTTGGTTCCCGGGGACCCCTGTGGCCCACCTCCTGGGACACACGCATGGGACGCCAGGTTTTGGAGTGGTATAGCTGGCTTCCTGGGGAATGGTGCTGCAGCCTGCAAGGTGTCACTGGGGAGCTGGCACTCCAGCTGTGCCTTCTGGAAGTCATTCAGGACAGCAGATTCTGGCTGGAGCAGATTGTGGTGTCACCAGTGGGTCCATGGCCAATTGCAGCGTGACGACAAACACCCAGGCATCCCTGTGGCACACCAGCCAGCTGCCAGACGTCTGTGGCCTCTTGGGAGCTTTCTCCAATGCTGGCCATTTAACAGCAGCCCACTCCGTGGTCCTCTGCATCCTCCATGTCTTCTGAGCCACCTGACACTGCGTCCTGAGCACGGCCCCTCAGGACAGCTGAGCTGCAGCACTGCTCCCTGGAGCCCTGGCTCTATGCGTGCAGCCCTCTGGCCCTGGCTCCATGTCTGAGGCTCTGATCAGCCTGGCAGCAGCAGGATGCCCTGAGGAGCCCCAGGACCAGTATCTGCAGAAGGGAGGGGAGGGGGCTAGGGTTTTGCCGTGGTGGATAGGTGGGCCACAGTTTTAACAGGCAGCCCTGAGGAGGGGCAGCGATACGCCTCGACAGCCCTCAGAGTTGCCTCTGGAGCGTGCCCTTCGTGGGACCAGATGTGGGGAGAGGGGACAGGGAGGACCCAGCGCTTTCTAGGGTTAGGCTCTGCGCATTCGGAGGACGGGCAGCATGGGTGCCTCCAGGAGGCAGCTGGGCACATGGTTTTGGAACCCAGGATAGGCTGGTCTCTTGCTGCAGATTTGGGAGGCTGAGGGTAGGTGGGAGGAGGTCTCAGATCTAATGGGTAAATGAAGATGGAGCAGGATCCCGTTACTGGAGAGGGGAGCCTCCATAGCCTGCGTTGCGGAGGTGGGTGGCAGCCAAGTCCAAAACGCACGTGCTGAGTTTGGTAGCCATGGGTGGCGGCTGCCTCCAGAGCTGTGGAGAGCGGGGGTGGGGCGCAAACGTGGGGCCCAACCCTTCTCCCAAGACCCCTTGTAGAGGTAGGGAAGGGTGAGCATGGACAGGCTGCTGAACAGGGGAGGCTCCAGCCGGAATGAGGGTGAGAACCAAGAGGGGGTCTAGGGCCCGTGGTGCTGAGAAAACGGGGAGCAGACCCTACTCCTGGGTGGGTGGGCACAGGGGCGCAGAACACTGCAGGGGCTTAAAGAGCAGGAACTTGCTGTCACCGCTCTGGAGGCCAGAAGCCAGTAGGCGAGGAGTGGGCAGGGCCACGCTCCCTCCGGAGCTGGAGGGGAGGATCCTTCCTGCCGCTTCCAGCTTCTGGGGCCGCGGACGTGCTGGGAATTCCTTGCTTGTAGATCCAGTCTCTGCCTCTGTCTTCTCCCTGTGTGTCTGTCTTCTTCTTATTTTTTTAAATGCTTTAATTTTTTTGAGACGGAGTCCTGCTCTGTCGCCCCAGGCTGGAGTGCAGTGGTACAATCTCGGCTAAAATCCCCGCCTCCCAGGTTCAAACGATTCTCCTGCCTCATCCTCCCCAGTCGCTGGGATTACAAGCGTCTGCCACCACACTAGGCCAACTTTTGTATTTTTGGTAGAGACAGGATTTCACCATGTGGGTCAGGCTGGTCTCTTAACTTTTGACCTCAGACGATCTACCCACCTTGGCCTCACAAAGTGCCAGGATGACAGTTGTGAGCCACTGTACCTGGCTGTTGTCTGTCTTCTTATAAGGACACTAGTTATACTGGGTAAGAGCCAGCCTAGCCCGGTCTGACCGCACCTTGACCGGATGACATCTGCAGAGGTCCTGTTTCCAAAGAAGGTCACATTCTTAGGGACTGTAGATTAGGTCTTACACATACCTTTTTAGGGGGCACAATCCAACCCGGTGCAGAAGGGCACGGGCCTGGGTGGAGGCGGCTGGCGCAGGAGTGGTGGGGATGTGAGGAGGTGAGGCACCTGCACCCTGCTCAGCCAGTCACACAGCTGCGGATGGAAAGGGTCAGCACAGGGCATGCTGGGGCTGCAGCCGGAGGACCAGGGCCCATGGGGGGAGAGAGGCTTGCCTGGCCTGCACACAGCTCCTGGCAGGACTAACATGTGGCTGCAGCCCCCAGGGCAGGGTGTGGGCTCAGAGGGGCAACAGCCCAGAGGCCGTGGTGCTGGCGGATGTGAGATCTAGCACAGGCAGAGGAGGGTGCAGGGCCAGGCCGAGGCAGGAGACCGGGGTTCAGAGGGCAGGATTCTCGCTGGAGTCTGGTGCTTGGCTGCGGAGGGAGGGCGGGGCCTTGGGAGCCAGGAGGGGGTGGCAGAGGCCTCTCTGGAGTGACAGGTCCAGGTGGGGTGGGAGGTTTCAAGAAGTCACTGGAGCTAGGATGGGGCAGAGCCTTTGGAGAACAAAAGAGAGGAGCCCGGAGGTGGGAAGATGCCGGAGCCCAGGCTGAGGGGTGGGCCCCTCAGGCAGGGTTGGGGACCGGGGTGCCCTGGAAGGACCCGAGGGCACAGGGCCCTGGGCTGGCGGGAGGGCATTGGCCTGGGGTAGAGGTCAAAGGACAGCCTGCAGGACGGACAGCCCTGGAGTCCCGAGAGGCTCCTGGCAGCCAGCCTGGGTCCCTGTGCCCTGGGTCCCTGCACTCTGGGTCCCTGTGCCCGCCCTGGGACCCTCTGCCCACCTGCACTTCTGTGGTACTCCTACTGGAGCGCTCCCAGGCAGACTCAGGTCCTCAGGGACTCTCTGGCTGCACATCTGTGGGTGGCGCTCGGCCTGGGATAGCATGGGATTGGCCCCATGACCACATCTTCCCTCGTGCCCAGGCCACGCAGGGTCCCTGACTGAGCCTTTCTGTCCCCTGCAGGACAGAGGTGGACCTCGGCAGGCTGCGCATATCCTGCTGTATGTGATGAGCAGCGTTCACCTCCCGGGCACTGACAGCACGGAGCAGGCCAGCATCCCCAGAGCCATGGCAGCCACACTGGGAGCTGGCACAGCCCCCAGGCCTCAGGCCAGGAGCATAGCTGGGGTGTATGTGGAGGCCTCGGGCCAGGCCCAGAGCGTCTACACTGCCATGGAGCAGGGTCTTCTGCCCGCTGGGCTCGGGCTGGCTCTGCTAGAGGCCCAGGCAGCCACCGGGGGCCTGGTGGATCCTGCCCAGGGCCAGCTGCTCCCTGTGTCTGAGGCCCTGCAGCAGGGCCTGGTGGGGCTGGAGCTGAAGGAGAAGCTGCTGGCCGCTGAGCGCGCTGCCACAGGCTATCCTGACCCCTACGGGGGTGAGAAGCTGTCCCTCTTTCAGGCCATCGGGAAGGAGGTTGTGGACAGGGCCCTGGGCCAGAGCTGGCTGGAGGCCCAGCTGGCCACTGGGGGCCTGGTGGACCCTGCCCGTGGCGTGCGCGTGGCCCCTGAGCAAGCCTGCCAGCAGGGCCTCCTGGACCGGGAGACGTGGCACAAGCTGTCGGAGCTCGAGCCTGGCACAGGCACCCTGCAATTCCTTGACCCCAACACGCTAGAGCGGCTGACATATTACCAGCTGCTGGAAAGGTGTGTACGGGCCCCCAGCTCGGGGCTGGCCATGCTGCCCCTCAAGATCACCTTCCGCTCCGTGGGCGGGGCCGTGAGTGCAGCCGAGCTGCTGGAGGTGGGCATCCTGGATGAGGAGGCTGTGCGGGGTCTGCAGGAAGGCAGGCTGGCTGCCGCGGACGTGGGCGCACGGGCCGAGGTGCGGCGCTACCTGGAGGGCACCGGCAGTGTGGCCGGGGTCGTCCTGCTGCCCGAAGGCCACAAGAAGAGCTTCTTCCAGGCTGCCGCCGAGCACCTGCTCCCGATGGGCACCGCGCTGCCACTCCTAGAGGCCCAGGCCGCCACCCACACCCTAGCGGACCCCACCACAGGCCAGCGGCTATGGGTGGACGAGGCAGTCAGGGCAGGCCTAGTCAGCCCAGAGCTCCATGAGCAGCTTCTGGTGGCTGAGCAGGCCGTGACAGGGTACCACGACCCCTTCAGTGGCTCCCAAATCCCCCTCTTCCAGGCCATGAAGAAGGGGCTAGTGGACAGGCCACTGGCACTGCGGCTCCTGGACGCCCAGCTGACCACAGGAGGGCTGGTCTGTCCAGCACGTAGGCTCCGGCTGCCCCTGGAGGCCGCCCTGCACTGTGGCTGCCTGGATGAAGACACTCAGCGACAGCTCTCAGGGGCTGGTGGCTTCTCAGACCCCGGCACACATGGCGGCCTGCGCTATGAGCAGCTGCTGGCCCGCTGTGTCACCGACCCGGACACTGGGCTTGCTTTCCTGCCACTCTCCGGGGGGCCCAGGGAACAGCAGCCCCAGGGACCCCCATTCATCATGCACGGTACTCGACAGGCCCTGAGTTCAGCCACAACCACTATCTCGGTGGGGAAGTTCCGGGGCCGGCCCGTGTCCCTCTGGGAGCTGCTCTTCTCTGAGGCCATCTCCGCAGAGCGGAGGGCGATGCTGGCCCAGCAGCACCAGAAAGGGACCCTCTCTGTGGAGGAGCTGGCTGCTGAGCTGAGCGCCACCCTCGAGCAGGCTGCAGCCACTGCCAAGGTCACCTTTTCTGGGCTGAGGGACACCGTGACACCAGGAGAGCTGCTCGAAGCCGAGATCATCGACCAGGACCTGTACGAGCAGTTGGAACACGGGCAGACCACGGCCCAGGATGTGAGCAGCCTGGCCTCCGTGCAGAAGTACCTGCAGGGCACCGGCTGCATCGCCGGCCTGCTGCTGCCTGGCTCTCAGGAGCGCCTGAGCATCTATGAGGCCCGACGCAAGGGGCTCCTCCGACCCGGCACTGCCCTCATCCTCCTGGAGGCGCAAGCCGCCACAGGCTTCATCATCGACCCGAAAGAAAACAAGGCACACTCCGTGGAGGAGGCGCTGAGAGCTGGCGTCATTGGGCCCGACGTGTATGCGAAGCTGCTGTCGGCCGAGCGCGCCGTCACCGGCTACACCGACCCCTACACCGGGCAGCCCATCTCCCTCTTCCAGGCCATGCAGAAGGGCCTCATCGTGCAGGAGCACGGCATTCGCCTGCTGGAGGCCCAGATTGCCACGGGCGGCATCATCGACCCTGTGCACAGCCACCGCGTGCCCGTGGACGTGGCCTACCGGCGTGGCTACTTTGATCAGATGCTGAACATGATCCTGTTGGACCCCTCTGACGACACCAAGGGCTTCTTCGACCCCAACACACACGAGAACCTCACGTACCTGCAGTTGCTGGAGCGCTGCGTGGAGGACGCCGAGACGGGCCTGTACCTCCTGCCACTCGGCAGCACGCAGTGCCCGCTGGTAGACAGTGCCACCCGGCAGGCCTTCCAGAACCTGCTGCTCTCTGTGAAGTACGGGCGGCTTCAGGGGCAGAGGGTCTCCGCGTGGGAGCTGATCAACTCTGAGTACTTCAGCGAGACCCGCAGGAGGCAGCTGCTGCATCAATACCGGCGACGTGAGGTCATGCTGGGGCAGGTGGCCCAGCTGCTGGAGGCTGAGACGCAGAGGCAGGCGGATGTCACACTGCCTGCACTGCGGGGCCGGGTCACCGCCCACCAGCTCCTGGAGGCACGAATCATCGACCAGCAGCTGTTGGACCAAGTGCTGGCTGGGACGGTCAGCCCCGAGGCCCTCCTCCTCATGGATAGCGTCCGCAGGTACCTGCGTGGCCTGGGAGCTGTGGGCGGCGTGAGACTGCTGCCCTCCGGCCAGCGGCTTAGCCTCTACCAGGCCATGAGGCAGAAGCTGCTGGGGCCCAGTGTAGCCCTGGCCCTGCTGGAGGCCCAGGCAGCCACCGGAACCATCGTGGACCCTGACAGCCTGGAGAGCCTCTCAGTGGATGAGGCTGTGCGCAGGGGTGTGGTGGGACCAGAGCTGTATGGCAGGCTGAAGCGGGCTGAGGGTGCCATCACTGGCTTCAGAGACCCCTTCTCTGGGACGCAGGTGTCCCTGTTCCAGGCCATGAAGAAAGGTCTCATCCCTTGGGACCAAACTGCCCGCCTCCTGGAGGCTCAGGTGGCCACAGGAGGGGTCATCGACCCCATGGGCCACCACCACCTCCCCATGCCAGTGGCCATTCAGCGTGGCTTTGTCGACCAGGAGATGGAGACAGCCTTGTCCAGCTCCTCCGAGACCTTCCCCACACCAGACAGCCAGGGGCGCACCAGCTATGCCCGGCTCCTGGAGCAGTGCCCCAGGGATGAGACTTCTGGCTCTCACCTCCTGCCCTTGCCAGAGAGTGCTCCTGCCCTCCCCACTGAGGAGCAGGTCCAGAAAAGCCTGCAGGCCATGCCGGGCACCGAGGACGGCACGTCCCTCTGGGACCTGCTCAGCTCCTGCCACTTCACCGAGGAGCAACGGAGGGCCCTGCTGGAGGATGTGCAGGAGGGGAGGACAGCTGTGCCACAGCTACTCGCCTCTGTGCAGACATGGATACAGGAGACTAAGCTCCTGGCCCAGGCCCGCGTCACGGTGCCCGGCCCGCGGGGTGAGGTCCCTGCCGTCTGGCTGCTGGATGCTGGCATCATCCCCCAGGAGACCCTTAAGGCCTTGGCTCAGGGCACACAGTCACCCACCCAGGTCGCTGAGCAGCCGGCGGTGAAGGCCTGCCTGTGGGGCACGGGCTGCGTGGCTGGCGTGCTGCTGCAGCATTCCGGGGCCAAGGCCAGCATCGCCCAGGCCATGAGGGATGGCCTACTGCCTGCAGGCCTGGGCCAGAGGCTGCTGGAAGCCCAGGTGGCGTCTGGCTCCCTTGTCGACCCCCTGACCAACCAGAGACTGTCAGTGGAGGATGCAATTAAGGTCGGCCTGGTGGGCAGGGAGCTGAGTGAGCAGCTCGGGCAGGCTGAGAGGGCAGTGGCCGGGTACCCGGATCCCTACTCCGGGGGCTCCCTCTCGCTGTGGCAGGCAATGGAGAAGGGGCTTGTGCCGCAGAACGAGGGCTTCCCCCTCCTGCAGGTGCAGCTGGCCACGGGGGGCGTGGTGGAGCCTGTCCATGGGGTGCACCTGCCCCAGGCGGCAGCCTGCAGACTTGGCCTTCTGGACACACAGACGAGCCGAGCGCTGACCGCAGCTGACGAGGACAACAAGTTCTTCTTTGACCCCAGCGCACAGGACCAGGTGACCTACCAGGAGCTCAGGGAGCGCTGCGTGCACGACCCCGAGACCGGCCTGTTGCTGCTGCCCCTGACCTCGGACACAGCGCTTGAGGTGGATGACCACACTGCGGTGGCTCTGAGGGCCATGAAGGTACCTGTCAGCACGGGGAGGCTTCAGGGCTGCAGCGTGTCACTCTGGGACCTGCTGCGTTCCGAGTACATTGGCGCTGACAAGCGGCAGGAGCTGGTGGCACTCTGCCGGTCTGGGAGGGCTGCAGCCCTACGGGAGGTGGTCAGCGCGGTCACTGCCCTGGTGGAGGCTGCGGAGAGGCAGCCCCTGCAGGCCACTTTCAGAGGGCTCCGGAAGCAGGTGTCAGCCAGGGACCTGTTCACGGCGCAGCTGATCAGCAAGAAGACGCTGGACGAGCTGAGCCAGGGGGTGACGACTGTGACGGAGGTGGCAGAGATGGACAGTGTGAGGCGGTCCCTGGAGGGCGGCAACTTCATTGCCGGGGTCCTTGTCCAAGGCACCCAGGAGAGGATGAGCATCCCAGAAGCCCTGAGAAGGCACATCCTGCGGCCCGGCACGGCACTGGTGCTGCTGGAAGCACAGGCAGCCACCGGCTTCATCATCGACCCCGTGGAGAACCGGAAGCTGACTGTGGAGGAGGCGTTCAAAGCAGGGATGTTTGGCAAAGAAACCTACGTGAAGCTGCTGTCAGCCGAGCGCGCCGTCACTGGCTACACCGACCCCTACACCGGGCAGCAGATCTCCCTCTTCCAGGCCATGCAGAAGGACCTCATCGTGCGGGAGCACGGCATCCGCCTGCTGGAGGCCCAGATCGCCACGGGCGGCGTCATCGACCCCGTGCATAGCCACCGCGTGCCCGTGGACGTGGCCTACCGGCGTGGCTACTTCGACGAGGAGATGAACCGCGTCCTGGCGGACCCCAGCGACGACACCAAGGGCTTCTTCGACCCCAACACGCACGAGAACCTCACGTACGTGCAGCTGCTGCGCCGCTGCGTGCGTGACCCGGACACCGGGCTCTACATGCTGCAGCTGGCCGGCCGGGGCTCCGCCGTGCACCAGCTGAGCGAGGAGCTGCGCTGTGCCCTGCGTGAGGCCCGCGTGACGCCGGGCTCGGGCGCCCTGCGGGGCCAGAGCGTCTCCGTCTGGGAGCTCCTCTTCTACCGCGAGGTGTGCGAGGGCCGGCGCCAGGACCTGCTGAGCAGGTACCGGGCGGGCACGCTGACCGTGGAGGAGCTGGGCGCCACCCTCATTTCGCTGCTGGCGCAGGCCGAGGCTGAGGCCGGAGCCGGGAGCCCGCCCCCAGACCCCCGGGAGGCCCTGCGCGCGGCCACCATGGAGGTCAAGGTGGGCCGCCTCCGGGGGCGTGCGGTGCCCGTCTGGGACGTGCTGGCGTCCGGCTACGTGAGCGGGGCCGCCCGGGAGGAGCTGCTGGCCCAGTTCGGCTCGGGGACGCTGGCCTTGCCCGCGCTGACCCGCCGGCTGACCGCCATCATCGAGGAGGCCGAGGAGACCCCCGGAGGCGGGCAGGAGCGCCAGGACGCCTCGCGTGGCCCTCGGGACCCGGGGCCAGCCGGGCAAGGGGACGGTGACTCCGGGCGCTCCCCGGACAAGGCCGAGGCCGCCCGCCGCCAGGAGCGGACCCTGCGGGGCGCCACCATGGAGGTGCAGCACGGGCAGTTCCAGGGGCGGCCGGTCTCCGTGTGGGACGTCCTCTTCTCCTCGTACCTGAGCGAGGCCCGCAGAGACGAGCTCCTGGCCCAGCACGCGGCCGGCGCCCTGAGCCTGCCTGACCTCGTCGCCGTCCTCACCCGGATCGTCGAGGAGGCCGAGGAGCGGCTCAGGAAGGTGTCCTTCCGCGGCCTGAGGCGCCAGGTGTCCGCCTCCGAGCTGCACACGTCCGGGATCCTGGGCCCCGACACCCTGCGGGCCCTGGCCCAGGGCACCAAGACCCTGCAGGAGGTGACGGAGATGGACTCGGTCAAGCGCTACCTGGAGGGCACCAGCTGCATCGCGGGCGTCCTGGTGCCCGCCAAGGACGAGCCGGGCCGCCAGGAGAAGATGAGCATCTACCAGGCCATGTGGAAGGGCGTGCTGCGGCCCGGCACGGCCCTGGTGCTGCTGGAGGCGCAGGCGGCCACCGGCTTCGTCATCGACCCCGTGCGCAACCTGAGGCTGTCCGTGGAGGAGGCCGTGGCCGCGGGCGTGGTGGGCGGCGAGATCCAGGAGAAGCTGCTGTCGGCCGAGCGCGCCGTCACCGGCTACACCGACCCCTACACCGGGCAGCAGATCTCCCTCTTCCAGGCCATGCAGAAGGACCTCATCGTGCGGGAGCACGGCATCCGCCTGCTGGAGGCCCAGATTGCCACAGGCGGCATCATCGACCCCGTGCACAGCCACCGTGTGCCCGTGGACGTGGCCTACCAGCGTGGCTACTTCGACGAGGAGATGAACCACGTCCTGGCGGACCCCAGCGATGACACCAAGGGCTTCTTCGACCCCAACACGCACGAGAACCTCACGTACCTGCAGCTACTGGAGCGCTGCGTGGAGGACCCCGAGACAGGCCTGTACCTGCTACAAATTGTAAAGAAGGGTGACACCTACGTGTACATCGATGAGGCCATGAGACACATGCTGCTATCCAGAACTGCAAAAATGCGTGTGGGGAGGTTTGCTGACCAGGTGGTCTCTTTCTGGGACCTGCTGTCCTCTCCATACTTCACAGAGGACAGGAAGCGGGAGCTGATCCAGGCATATGGAACCCAGAGTGGGGGCCTGGAGAAATTGCTGGAAATCATCACTACGACAATTGAAGAAACAGAGACGCAAAACCAAGGCATCAAGGTGGCAGCCATCAGAGGGGAGGTGACAGCTGCAGAGCTGTTCAACTCCGGAATCATCGATCAGAAGACCCTCCACATGCTCCGTGCAGGGAGGACTGGGGGGCAGGTGCTCAGCACGCTGGAGGAGCTGAAGCCCTACCTAGAAGGCAGCGGCTGCATCGCGGGGGTGATAGTGCCCTCCACCATGGAGGTTGTGAGCCTCCATGAGGCCAGCAGGAAGGAGCTCATCCCTTTAGCATTTGCGACCTGGCTGCTGGAGGCGCAGGCCGCCACTGGTTTCCTGTTGGACCCCTGCACCCACCAGAGGCTCTCTGTAGATGAGGCTGTGGTTGTGGGCCTGGTGAGCGAGGAGCTATGTGAAAGGCTCCTGAAGGCTGAGAGGGCTGCCACAGGCTACAGGGATCCGGCCACGGGAGACACAATCCCACTGTTCCAGGCCATGCAGAAGCAGCTCGTCGGGAAGGCAGAGGCACTGAGGCTGCTGGAGGTGCAGGTGGCCACGGGGGGTGTCATCGACCCACGGCACCACCACCGGCTCCCACTGGAAACAGCCTATAGGCGGGGCTGTCTGCACAAGGACACATACGCACTCATTTCTGACCAGAAGCACATGAGGAAACGGTTTGTGGACCCGAACACCCAGGAGAAGGTCTCGTACCAAGAGTTGCAGCACAGGTGCCACCGGCAAGAGGACACTGGCTGGCTACTCTTCCCAGTGGCCAAGGACGCACGGGACTCCCAGTACGTCGACGAGGAGACGCTAAGGGCCCTGGAGGCAGAGCAGGTGGAGATAACAGTGGGAAGGTTCAGAGGCCAGAAGCCCACACTGTGGACACTGCTGAATTCGGAATATGTGACGGAGGAGAAGAAGTTCCAGCTGGTGAGGATGTACAGACTGGACACGAACCGGGCACTGCAGAAGGTAGCACAGCTGATCTTAGACACGATTGAGACGCAGGAAAAGGACAGTAAACAACTGTGGTTCCAAGGGATTAGAAGACAAGTCACAGCCTCGGAACTCCTGAGCTCACACGTCATCACAGAGGAAATGCTGCAGGACCTGGAAACTGGGCGGAGCACGGTGCAACAGCTCAGGAAGGACAAGCACGTCAAGCGCTACCTGGAGGGCACCAGCTGCATCGCGGGCGTCCTGGTGCCCGCCAAGGACGAGCCGGGCCGCCAGGAGAAGATGAGCATCTACCAGGCCATGTGGAAGGGCGTGCTGCGGCCCGGCACGGCCCTGGTGCTGCTGGAGGCGCAGGCGGCCACCGGCTTCGTCATCGACCCCGTGCGCAACCTGAGGCTGTCCGTGGAGGAGGCCGTGGCCGCGGGCGTGGTGGGCGGCGAGATCCAGGAGAAGCTGCTGTCGGCCGAGCGCGCCGTCACCGGCTACACCGACCCCTACACCGGGCAGCAGATCTCCCTCTTCCAGGCCATGCAGAAGGACCTCATCGTGCGGGAGCACGGCATCCGCCTGCTGGAGGCCCAGATCGCCACGGGCGGCGTCATCGACCCCGTGCACAGCCACCGCGTGCCCGTGGACGTGGCCTACCAGCGTGGCTACTTCGACGAGGAGATGAACCGCATCCTGGCGGACCCCAGCGACGACACCAAAGGCTTCTTCGACCCCAGCACGCACGAGAACCTCACCTACCTGCAGTTGCTGCAGAGGGCCACTCTCGACCCTGAGACTGGGCTCCTATTTCTTTCTGTGTCTCTGCAGTGACTGTGCTCCCCTTATGAATTTGCTGCAACTCTCGAGAAGATGAGGCAGAATTCTGTTTTTTGTGCGTGTTCCTATTCTTTCATTTTGTTGTTTTACCCATGAGTTATCTGTGGAAAATATTTCAGGTTATCGTGCATTGTGAGTGGAATTTGTCTTTTCCTATCAAAGTCTTTCATAATTGATTTCTTGGTTTTTCTGTGTCCCTCTTGCTTTCATATTATTTCACTTTTCACAACTTTTTTTTTTCCCCCCAAACATTTTTGTGTCTGTTTTGGATTCACTTGCTGCCTTTTTAAGCAAGGTCACTGTAGACTCTCAGTCCATCATGTCAACCAGTACACCTTTGTTGCAGTGTAATTTTCATTAAATGCACTAATTTCCCTTATGTTGTGCTGTTCCTATTCATCGTGAAACCCATTTTTCATCAGCCAATGTCTCCCACTTCGTGCTCTGGCTCAGTTTGCTTCCTCCGGTGCCTTTCCGCTCCCTGCTGTGCTGTCCAAGAACAGGGGCTGGATTCCGTCTCCTGGCTGCTGCTTCACCTTATAGGTGTGACCTCACCAGCGTTTACTGAGCGACTCTCTTGTGGAGAAATACCTACGGCGGCAGGACAAGAAAAATATGAATGAAACTCTTGTTTTTGATTTCAGGTTTTTGAAGGTTCAATCACTAATGTTTACACCCTGAATATAGAGATAGATACTAGATTAAACAAGTGAAGTAAGCCATCCAAAACCCAGGGTTCCTAGAGCCCATCTCAGAATCATATCCACATAGGCTGCAGTGAAGTCTTGCTCACAGATTCCAGGGAGAACATGGAGTTTTGTTGTTAATAGAAGACTGGCAGTTGGAGCAGGTGACAAAGAAGCCCTGCCGGTCCCCCTTCATTCACTCCACCATGGGTTGCCTGTGGCATCTGGGCGGCTTGCTCTCCAACGGTAGCAGCAAGAACCCAGGTGTGCTGCCCAGTGGCTGTGTGTGGCTGGCTTCCCGGGGGCCTGCAGGATGGTCGTGGGCACCACAGAGGACAGTCCCTGTGCTGGGCTGGCTGGAGCAAGGGCAGACTGAGAGGACAGGGCTTGGACATTCTGGATGAAGAGCCAGTGGCCCCAGGGCAGAAATGACATCTGGGCAACTCATCAAAATGTGCCTTCCAGGCTCTGAAGAAAATCCCTGCCAGGGTCTGGAGGTGGGCCTGAGGGGACAGGGGCCAGCAAGGAAGTAGAAACTGTAGCGAGGTTCACACGTGCTAACGTTCACAGACGTCAAAGTAGTCACTTGGCACAAGCCACTTAATAGCTCTCAGCCGAGTTTCATAGCCGTGTGCAACCGGTGGTGACGGCTGGGATGGGGATGCAGTCAGGGATGCAGCCTTGACTTGGGGGCCAGGGAGAACCTGAAGAACAAGTATTGGAAAGGCATCGGCAGGGTGCTCCCACACATACTCCTCCTGTTGTTCTTCAGCAAGCCCTGCATGTGTGTCAGGCACTGGCGCTGCACAAGTTCTCACCGTGGACTTTACGGCAATGCCGAAGCAGGGAATGCATGCCTGATCGGTGTTTATGAGCTCCATGTTTTTCTAGCCTTTTACCTTTACCTTATCTTTGTCGTTATATTTGAAATGAGTCTCTTACACACAGCATATTAATGGGTGGGGGCTATCTTTACCCAATTTCACAGTCTCTATGTTTGGATTGGTATATTTACACCATTACATTTTATATAATTATTTATGCATTTAGACTTTTTTTTTTTTTTTTGAGATGGAGTCTTGCTCTGTCGCCCAGGCTGGAGTGCAGTGGCGCGATCTCAGCTCACCACAACCTCAGTCTCCTGGGTTCGAGCGATTTTTCTGCCTCAGCCTCCTGAGCAGCTGGAACTAGAGGGGTGCCCCATCATGCCCCGCTAACTTTTGCATTTTTAGTAGAGACGGGGTTTCACCGTATTGGTCAGGCCGGTCTCAACCTCCTGACTCTGTGATCCACCCGCCTTGGCCTCC